CACGGAATGTGCTGTAAAAAATTGTTAAAATTAAATGCTTAGTTTATATAGTAAATATTGGGTGAGGGGTAAATATCTTTTTTAATCTAAAGGGAACCCTCCATCAACCCCCAGTGATTTGCACTGACCACTGCACAAGTACCAAGTGGTTTAGAGTAACTCCTTTTTCCACGGAATGAATTTGTTAAAGTCAAATGCTTAGTTTGTATAGTAAAATAGAAATATTTATTCAGTAGTAAATACCTTTTTTAATATAGAGGGAACCCTCTACCTAGCCCCCAATGGTTTTCACTGAGCGCTGCACACGCACTAGTGGTTTAGAACTTTAGAGTAACTCCTTTTCCCACGGAATGTGCTGTATAAATTTGTGAAAATTAATTGTTTAGTTCATATAGTAAAATAGAAATATTGATTGAGGGGTAAATATCTTTTTTTTTTTAATCTAGAGGCCTCTACCTAGCCCCCAAGGGTTTGCACTGACCGCTGCACACGTATCAAGTGGTTTAGAGTAACTCCTTTCCCCACGGAATGTGCTGTAAAAATGTTAAAATTAAATGCTTAGTTCATATAGTAAATATTGGTTAAGGGGGAAATATCTTTTTTAATCTAGAGGGAACCTTCTACCTAGCCCTTAAGGATTTGCACTGACCGCTGCACACGTACCAAGTGGTTTAGAGTAACTCCTTTTTCCACGGAATGAATTTGTTAAAGTCAAATGCTTAGTTTATATAGTAAAATAGAAATATTTATTCAGTGGTAAATATCTTTTTGATGTAGAGGGAACCCTCTACCTAGCCCCCAATGGTTTTCACTGAGCGCTGCACACGCACTAGTGGTTTAGAACTTTAGAGTAACTCATTTTCCCACGGAATGTGCTGTATAAATTTGTTAAAATTAATTGCTTAGTTCATATAGTAAAATAGAAATATTGATTGAGGGGTAAATATCTTTTTTTTTAATCTAGAGGCCTAGGGAACCCTCTACCTAACCCGCAGTGGTTTACACTGACCGGTGCACATATATTAAATGGTTTAGAGTAACTCCTTTTCTCACGGAATGTGCTGTAAAAAATTGTTAAAATTAAATGCTTAGTTTATATAGTAAATATTGGGTGAGGGGTAAATATATTTTTTAATCTAAAGGGAACCCTCCATCAACCCCCAGTGGTTTGCACTGACCACTGCACACGTACCAAGTGGTTTAGAGTAACTCCTTTTCCCACGGAATGAATTTGTTAAAATTAAATGCTCAGTTTATATAGTAAAATAGAAATATTGGTTGAGGGGTAAATATCTTTATAATCTAGAGGGAACCCTCTACCTAGCCCCTAAGGGTTTTCACTGACCGCTGCACACGTACAAAGCGGTTTAGAGTAACTCCTTTTTCCACGGAATGAATTTGTTAAAGTCAAATGCTTAGTTCATATAGTAAAATAGAAATATTTATTCAGTGGTAAATATCTTTTTTGATGTAGAGGGAACCCTCTACCTAACCCCAATGGTTTACACTGACCGCTGCACACGCACTAGTGGTTTAGAGTAACTCCTTTTCCCACGGAATGTACTGTATACATTTGTAAAGTTAACGCGGGGTGGGGACGACACTCGGCCCGCAGACGATCAAACCCACCGCCCGGCTTTGAACTCAAATTGCCGATGACATGAAAACCTACTTCAGAGGACACGCTGGATCCAAGGTCAAGTGCATTTGAGACCATCTTCTTACATCAAAGGGTAAAACTAATCAAGTTCGGGGTAAATCTTAGAGTTTGTCACAGACAGTGCTACATGTTCATTAACGTTCCTAACAGTCTATGTCGGTTCCTTGGATTTAATACACTTTTTAACGGTTCGGTTCTGAGTCTATCAGAGGGCTGGGTTATGTTTAGAAAATTGTTTCAGAACACCAAACAGTTCCCAATCCACTACAGATTTTGTCAAAGCACAAAAAATGTGTTTTTAATATCCTGAAGTGGCCTGTATTCAAACCTATTTACAAAACGTTTAATATACATACGTTTTAATGAAATTTCACATCAGGACAAAATATTAAAGCCAACTTTACGAGCTACGTAAAGTTAATTGTGTGTTTGTGGTTGATATGTAGGTTTGTAGTCAACCTGTCGTCCTTTATTTACTTCATGATAAACGATTTCTTGCCTCATCAGTTTTTGGTTAACCGCAACTAACCTCTTCGTCACCCAAGACGGCTAAGTTTAGAATATACATCAATTCGCGTGTAGATGCGGTGTTGGTGGGGAGGGGGGCGCTTGCTAGTACACGATCATACACCTGTCTTTTCGCTACAATGTTGCGACACCGCTAAGGAATGTAGCTTCGTCTTTTAAGAATTCTTTCACACCATCTTGCAAACACATGCTGGCAGACGAGACAAAGAGACATGCGTTTTCTCAAGTAATGATTTTGACACGTGTTAACAGATAGCCCAAGAGCTGCATTAGTCAGACTGTAGACATGTTCGTATCACCTGTTAGACCCTGCCTGTATATACATTGGCAGCCTGCAACGATTTCGATTCCCTTGTGTTAGCCTGTGTCACAACTCCATCACGCATACACATGCCTTATGTATCTATTTCCCAAGCAAAGAAGAAAAGCTTGTCACAAAAACCCAAAGCCGAAAGTTTGACTGACAATCAATTGTAGAATAGGTTATGAACAAAAATGAGTAACTTTCTTTGAGTATTTTTGTAACCGTGTCGACGTTTTGTTTTTGTTTCAAACAAGGTGTCAAGTTTAAATCAGAGCATGTGCGTTCTGATTGTAAAATAGTGCCACGTTGAAATGGATAATATGGCAACATGTGTACAGTTAATAATTATAATGAGCAAATACTGAGATCGCACGTAAAAACTGAAATACAGTCTTCAGTCCCTGTCACACATTCACGATCTTCCCCCGAATTTGTTTTCAAACCAGAGTCCCTTAATTCAGCTAATGCGTTTGGGGGCAACCTGGCTAGAATTTTCCAAACTTTTCTATACGAATCGAAGCGAATTTGAGTTAAATTTTAGTCAAATTTGACCCCGGAAAAGGTCTTTTAACATTGCAAACTCATTGATTCCCGAATGGTTGGTTGGTACTATGCTGACTTACTATGCTGACTTACCAGCCAACTATGGTCAAGCCAACACAGGTATAATTTAAACATCTTGAAACATTCGGCTGGTATAGTAGCCGACCTCGCCGAACACCAACCGACTTTACGCCGACCTACTACTAACCATAGTCGGGGGGCGTTCGGCTAGTGTTTCTGGTGGGGCGAAGTTCGTGAATGTGTGACACGGCCGCACATGGTTTTCGTCAGTGGTACAAATTTTGGGTGTCTAACCGGTAGAAAATACGTCTCGGGTGATAGTCCCTCCCTCCCTACTCACCTCGGCGTGTGCACCGGTACCGGCGGCGGCAGACGTGGCCTCAAGCCCCCGAACCTTCAGTCTCGTCTGCACGACGAAACTCAGCACCACGAAAACTAACCCGGGACTGTTCGGGGCACCGAATGGCGAGAGCCGCATGTTATTTGACAATAGACCCTGGGAGGGGAGAGAAAAAGCACGTTATATACCGTCTGGCTGGAGGGAGGGGAGGAGATGTCATCATTGCCAGCGTGTTTACAGCAAGAAAACTTGATATGGGGATTCTGTAGTCTAGGTCACACCTCTCACAGTCTCGTAGACAGTGCGCCCCCCTCCCCCTTTTCACGTGGACTCGCCTTTCAGCGAGTTTTTATGATCGCTTCTTTATATACCTAAAATTTATCACGGTTCTATTTTTTTAGGTTTGATAAGGTCTGTGCGAGGGTTAAAATAAGTGCTAAACGGAGTGTTAAATTTAGATGACATAGTGGGTTTGTTATTAGTTTTCCGTTAAAGGCAATAGGTTCCACCTGTTGGAAGGAAACCAAATGAAAGAAAGGAGCTAGCTGTCAAAATTTGTCAATGGCTTTTGGCTGGAGGCGTTTTCTTGGGGGTGAACTGCGGTTACAGACTGCAGTACCTCGCAACAAACGCTAGGCGTCTATTCGGACGTTCATACATGTTGCGGGCACTTTTAATCGTTACACTATGTAACATCATTCATAATATTATCTCTTTTCATACAACATTTTAACCTTATTGACTATAATGACTTAAAATTCTGTATAACATTGATTGGTTTAAAGTGCTGATCTCTCCTACAAACAAAACTTACAAAAATTATCGATAACACTATATATATTGATTGCATAATCGGTATGATTTGGTCGCGCTTTCACTATGAAAACTTCGTTGGAATTTCAGATGATTGTTTTTGCAAAGATTTTGTGTCTGTTGGAAATGTGATATGAGTATTTTTTCTCATTTGTGAAAGGATACAGGATGGTATAAAATTTTCTAGAAAGGAATGGAGTATTCAAGTGAAAGTCCTTTTAATATATTGTAACATTGACGTATTCCAAATACTCTCTTTTGGCCACAGCAAGTAATTTTTATGGATGACATCAGCGCGCTCATTAATTTTCGCCTGATTTTGGAAAAAAAAAGAAATGTTGTTGCCTTCTGACAGTGGTCAACATGCCGAAAATGGGGAAAAGATGTCTGTTGCCATGCCGGAAGGTGGATGGCAGATAACTATGAAGAGAGGAGACAAGAAAAGGCTCTGATTTAATGTTTTGTTTCTTACTTTGATGCAATAATATGTGATGATTGCTGTGTATGTGATGTTCCCACTGAATCAAAAGCATTTGTACAATGGTTGAGTCAAAATTCTAAAATGTAGGAACCTTGCTTTTTTTAGGCCCGCCTTGTTTCGCCCGCTCGCATTAGATTTGGAGTCTGTGGAGAATGTCATCCATAAAATTTACTTGCTGTGGCCTTATTTCGCCTATTCTACCGGCTGTGACCTAAGGGGCTACTAGTCCACAGTTAGGCCTAGGCAAAATTGTTGTGTTTCCCGTCCCCGACTTACCCCAGCAAAAACCTGCCGATTCCAGCCTTTTTTTTTTATTGATCATAACTGGTAAGACCGTAACATTTTCTTTCTGACAACTGAATTCAAACCCTCTTAATGTCATTAAGCGCATTTTCAGAAGCAAATTTTTCTTCAGAAAAACGGGTGAAATATTTGTTTACAAGCGACAAGGCCGGGTTCTCTTGACAGTCCCGATGCATTGTTTAACTTCATTTGTTTGGACATTTTAGCCGAAATCTAAAAAAAAAAAGAGATCAAAATCCCTACTATACCAAATATACTTTTTGAAAGAATGAAACAAGAAACAAAACATGAATATTTCCAGGCCTTACTACGTTTGATTGTCCTTTCCACAGTCCCGCAACATTGTTAAACTTTATATGTTTAGTGATTTTAGCCGAAATATATAAAAAAAATATTAAAAAATTGAAATCCCTACTATACTGATTTTACTTTTTGCAGCACTGAAACCAAAAACAAAAGATGAATTTTTCCAGGCCTTACTACGTTTAGTGGTCCTTTTCACAGTCCCTAAACATTGTTAAACTTCATATATTTAGTCGTTTTAGCCAAAATCTAAAAAAAAAGAGATTGAAAATCCCTTCTATACCAAATCTACTTTTTGAAAGAATGAAACAAGAAACAAAACATGATTTTTTCTAAGCCTTACTACGTTTGGTGGTCCTTTTGACAGTCCTGAAACATTGTTTTAAAATTTCATTTCTTTTGTCCTTTTAGCCGAAATCTAAAAATTTACACTGACTCTACTTTTTGCAGGACTGAAACCAAAACACAACATGAATTTTTCTTGGCCTTACTACGTTTGGTGGTTCTTTTCACAGTCCCGAAACATTAGGCCACACCGATTTAATTTTATGGATGACATCCTCTGAAGACCATCAAACTAGTGCGCGCGGGCGAATAAAAAAAATTCCGGCCAAAAATAAAAATGCTACTAAACCACAGGAATACAAAGCTGGTATTGTGAATTTGCGCCAGTACTTAGCAACGTATACGACATGCTGGCTTTTTGCGGCATTTATGAATCGGTACTGAACTTATGTACTGAGTTCTTGAGTCGCGGACCTTCGAATTCGATAGCCTGGTTGCTCGGCTCCGTTTTGTGGCTGACTACCATGGGCTACCCAGCCCTAGAGCCAGGCCAGAGCCTCGGTGGACGTGATCTTTTTTTTTTTTTGAGGGCGACAGGCGAAAATCAATGCGCGCGCGGATGTCATCCATAAAATTAAGTCAGTGTGGCCTTATAAAAAAAATATAAGAATTGAAATCCCTACTAAACTGTATTTTTTTTTAATTTTTGCAGGACAGAAACCAAAAACAAAACATGAATTTTTCCAGGCCTTACTACGCTCGGTGAGACAGTCTGTGTATAGTAAGAAGGACCGCGACTAATCTATCACGTGTAAAACAAACATGGCGTGTTTAGATATCACTGCGCCTCTGTCAGCACTTGTGCACATCGGTCGTTAATTTCACCCGCGCAAAGCACGGACCCAATGCTGACTGTCAATTACATTAGTAGCTCAACCAATGAGAGAGAGGCTATTAGCGTTTCAACCAATAAGAGATTGGCGCGATTCTACGTGGTGGGCGGGGCTTATAGGTTGGGTCTATTTCCCCGGAATCCGTGAACAAATTACCGTCTACCAATCAAACAGGCTGTATCATTTTTGGTACTCTAACGGGCTGCGTCCGTATCTGTTAAAAATCATCCTATGGAATTTCAGGGCGGCAAAACTGAATTTTCAAATTCAATTTTCTTTTGTTGTTTTTTTAAATATACTTAGTTGAATCAACCCTGTCTTATAGCATACATTTTATTGTATGGTAGCCTACGTATCTATTATTTATGGGTGGTACCCAAAACACAAAGAGACGCCGGACGTAGCTTGTTTATTGAGCTATTTTAAACACTTGCATTATGAAATGATAAAAAAGCGTGCTAAAAATGCCAGCAATGTCAATATCAGACAGATTTCCCTATCCAGAATATTACTTTTGTTTTGTTGCCTTTAAACTGACATTCTTTAGAAAGTCAGTAGATTCAAATGTTCCATTTTAACTGATGAGAACGTCTTGTATTGAAATATTGTTTTCTGTAACAGTAATGGAAATTATTTAAAAAATAGCCATGTATATTAAAATCAGGTAATTTAGAAAGCCAGACGATTCAAATCACATCCGCTATGGTTCCCAGACACTGATAGCATCACAAAAATAAAAATGCACAGATAAAGCCTCTAAAACGTCAGATGTTTTAAAAAGCATCCGTTCTCATTCGGTAATCTGCTATCTCCTATCAGTAGCTTACAATGATAGCGGATGATTTTCGAAACATCCGACGTTTCAGAGATTTTATCAGTGACGTTTTGTGATGCTATCAGTGCCTGGGAACCATAGCGGATGCGATTTGAATCGTCTGGCTTTCTAAAAAAATTACCTGCTTTGATACACATGGCTATTTTTTTTACAGTTTTTCATTACTGTCACAGAAAACATTATTTCAACACAAGAAGTTCACATCAGTTAGAATGGAACATTCTACTCGCTCACCCTAGCTACAAAAGTAGAGAACACTTGTAACTACACATATTTTCCTCCAGACAAAACATCGTCTGTTGACCTCAGGTTCCCTTGTCACACCCTCTAATGGAATAATTGACGGAAGTTGGAACATGCAATTGAGAACATCTCGGGATAAGATAGGAAGGCACGGTTCAAAACATTGTTACTATTTGTTTACTATTTTTGCTTACAGCCTTAAAGATTTTTGTGTTTATGTTTGTGTATGTGTGTGTGTGTGTGTGTGTGTGTGTGTGTGTGTGTGTGTGTGTGTGTGTGTGTGTGTGTGTGTGTGTTTGTGTGAATGTTTGTGTGTATTTTGGTGAATATTTGTTTGTGTGTGCGTTTGTGTGTGTGTATGCGTGTGTATTTGTGTCTATGTGTATGCGCGTGTGAGTGTGTGTGTGCATGCCTGCTTGTGTTTGTGTCAGTGTGTGTGTGTGCGTGCGTGTGTGGTTGTGTGTGTGTGTGTGTTTGTGTGTTTGTGTCTGTGTATGTGTATGTGTGTGTGTTTGTGCGTGTGTGTGTGCGTGCGTGTGTGCATGCATTTGTGTGTGTGTGTGTGTGTGTGTGTGTGTGTGTGTTTGGTGTGTGTGTGTGTGTGTGTGTGTGTGTGTGTGTGTGTGTGTTTGCGTGTTTATGTGTCTGTGTGTGTTTGTTTGTTTGTGTGTTTGTATCTGTGTATGTGAGTGCGTATCTTTGTGTGACAGACAAAATCAACAGCACTCCGCCTGCATATTGTACTCTAGTACATTACAAGCACAGACAAAAAAGCACAGACAAACAGATAGACACAAAGACAGACAAACCAACAAAGACGATAAAAAGAATCAAGTTCACTACCTTTGGATGAAGTAAAAAACCTTGATGCACAGACAGATACCTGATGCACACTTGCCGAGTTCTGTTAATTTTAGCAACGTTCACTTTTGTAAAGTCTCTTATTTAGAGAACTAGAATTTGTGTTCCGTCTGTCTGTGGGCCTTGACCTCCAAACGTCGGTACGCTTGTTTACAAAACACTCTCTAATTTAATTAAGTCCCTGTGAAGGCTGTACGGGCGCAGTTTGGACAGTTTGGAACGCGTGAACATTCTGACAAGGGTATCTCCACGTACCCACCTGCTTAAGGCGTGTCATCTTAAGTATCTTAAACCCCTCAATCATACCTTAAGCCGACAATACCGTAAGTGTTAGGATGAGTTTGGCTACAACCCAACTTGGCTGAGATCCAACTTCTTTTCAAACTTTTTTTTCTTCTTTCTACACAACCGGAAACACCTGGAAACTTTATTCGGCGTCCTTGTATTTTGTTTAACTCTTGGCTTGTACATGTGACAATACGCGGGGCAGCTTTGAAGTGCCCCCCACGTGACGGCTAGTTATTGTGTAGATAATGATGTATACACATGTACACGCCGTAGTTCTGTGGGAACACACCCTTCCGTCAAAACAAGCCGGCAGGTGTTCAAAGGTGGGTTAATATATATAGTTTGTCGCTTCCTCTGAGAGAGTGACGGCTTATGGGGCATAGTTGGCATAGCTCGGCAGCCAGCTTGGGGGCAATAGATAGTGAAGAAATGCGAGGTGCTCTGTTATCTGAACTTGTCAGTGAAACGTGTCTTGTTGTAGGTACACCAGAACCATCAATCAAAACTATGGATTTCAGCGTAGACTGAGAAATTTTAAGCCACATGAAAAAGCCAGAAAAGTCCCAGGTTTGTCGTGTGAATGTGGCACGGTTGTAAAGGAATTCTTCTGATATCCGTGTATTTGTCGTCCAAAAAGTAGCTGTCGTATTAAGTTCTTGGCGAATTCTACAAGATCAAATTCGCACGACGAAATACGACTAAGATTGAATATTAATTGTATATATACTGTGTATGATGATGTAAATATGATGATGTATATATGTATGTGTTTTGATGTTTTGTAACGTTTATGTGTATACTCTCTCCTGGAAGAGTAGCTGTCACCCTCGGGTGGGCAGCTAAAGGAGAGTTTTAAACCAATAAACCAATAAACCTGTAGCGCGGGTACTTGTTGTGTGATTTTCAGGTAGGTTTTAACAGCAGAATCTCGTACAACACAATCACGACTGTCGCAAGACTGTCCTGAACCAATTGTACCACAGATACGACAAAGCCCTACCCCGTTTGTCTCAAGGGTTTTGTTGTATAATTTTCAGTGAGGCAGTGGAAAAAATATGTCAAAACTTTGTCATAATTGACAACTAAATTACGACGCATTCACGACTGTCTCACGAACGTCTTACCTTAAAAGAAACGTAGCCCTTTATTCGTGTGGGAATATCACTGCATGTTTAGTAGACGTACTAGCCAGTACTGAGAAATCAGTTCAAGGCAAAAACCAGATGTCAAATTATTGTCTTTAAAATGTTCCGCTCAATTTTCGCATTGTATACACACAGTACAATTCCAAGGACCGGATCACATGAAAGTTGTGTACTGTTTGTTTGTGCGTAACCACGTGTGAGTAATTCTATTTCGGTACCATGTTTTTAAAACCTCCCTGTACACACCTCTTCTAACGTTTTAGTAACCAACGTCACATATCCCTACTTCCTTTATTCTATGCCACTACGGTGTATACATTTCAATTCACTCTATGCTTAAACCGCATACCAAAAATACCGGTCCAATTCACACGCTCCGGTGGCGAGGCACGCGACGGTAGCCTTTCGGGCGGGTTTTAATGCGAATCGGAAACAAGCGGAGTGCGCTAATGTTGTCTAATGCCTTTAATTGTTGTCATATGACAGGACAGGGTAGTGACGTAGGGAGAGGGGGCGCCGAAGGCATCCCCGCTGAGTTTCAAAGGCGTGAGTGTGCTCTTTTGTGAGAAAGACCGCCACGCCGAGTGATTGTGTATACAAACATACGCCGGTGTCTTCTATTCTAAACAGAGGAATGGACATATAGTAAACATTTTCCTGCTTTCCTAGAAAATTAAAAAGGTAGAGGTAGACACCATACATTTAACAAGAGAATTTTTTCCGGGGTGGGGGTGGGTGGGTCGTGGACACAAAAAATGCACATATCTCACTCTAAAAATAATTTTGTACCACGCATAAAATTGAATTCTGTGTTAATTATTTTCTCTCTCTCGGTTGAGCAAGTGTTAGATGTGTGTATCAAAATTAGTTTGGTAAAAAGCAAGAATTCAGAAAAAAGTAATAACGTTTAAAAGCAGAGAAAAATCGACAACAGATTCCTCTTGATATACAATTTGTTTTTAATCTACCAAAAAATCTACGTGAAATAAAAACACAAAATATTCAAGATAGGTACCAACAATGATTGTAGACGTATTCCAGACAGTTGCCTTGTAGGTAAAGCACATGTACAGGTTCGGGTAAATATTTTGATCTAATCTTCCAGTGGATCGGCCCCTGGAATGTGCAATCTGTCTACACCCAATTACAACCTACAAAACACACAAGATCGTACCCAGACAAACATACAACCTTAGGAATTACAACCTACGTGTACTCACTGTTGTCACCAAGCCGGGTGTTGAACGGTAGACGGTTGTAGTTTGTTGTAGTTGAGTTGGGAAGGGAGAGTAGTGGATCGTACCACGTTTCCGGTAGGCCGGCTTGTTGTGTATGTGGTATACAGGTGTGCTGACCGGCTCTACCTGCGTGGTTAGGCACGCCGGTTTTTATACCCACAGGCGAAAAGGCGTGGTGAGCAGACAGACTGTACACGCGACTCGGCCGGGCTGCTATAACGGACGGACTGGAGTCATCGTACATTCAGCACAGGTACGCCGCAGACTAGCACCACACTCCCCGCCTGACACCCCGCCACATTTACCGGTGATGGATTCGACGACGTCCCGACCGAATGACTCCCAACAGACGCCGTTAACGCTTTCATTTCATTCCCGCTAAATACCGCCTGGGGTCCGGGGTCATTTATTTGGCGCAAGAAGCCGGCGAGATCTATGAATTAAGCGGTTTCAACTTTGCCATACTCTAAGACTTTAATGTAAAAAAAAAATAAAAAATAAAAAAGATCCTAAATGCTAAAGAAATTTTAAAAGCTACAAAAATTTAAGTAAACAGAGCCCTTACAATCATAAATTTCAAAGGTACAAATGTTTTTGGAAGCATTATACATTCTTAAGAAAACAGGAATATGATCAGTTTAAAAATATTTCTGTATATTGGAATGATAATAGTTGACGTTAGTTTACCTTAATTTTATTCCCATTATTTTAATCTTTTTTTTTTTCAAAATGTAATTATTTCTCTGATGCATTTGCCCTTAACAGAGATAATAAAACAATACAAAGTTTTTAAAAGAAGCAAAAAAAGAATTTGAAAAGATAGAAACGTAGTATACAAGAGGGCATAAAACTAGTAACACAACTAAGAGGGGGATATGTATTGAAAGGAAAAGAAGTGTAAACAAATCACATTAATTGAAATCAGGTAGGGTGAACAAAATAATCTTTAACGAGATAAATTTTAGATTTATCTTTTTTTTCAAGGTGTTTCATTGATTTTTTTTTACAATAGATATCGCTCTCTTTGCTGTTTATACTTTTCTTCTTTGGAGGATTTAGGAAAGTGTAAAAAAACACATAGTTCTAAAGCATGTCTTCTCTTACATTTTAACCATCACAGGGAAGGCAAATCCGAATTCATTCATAGACTATAGCACTAGTTTTAGCGTGACCATGTTTTTTTTTTGTGTGTGTATAAAAGCTACTTCTTTAATTGTTGCGACCTATACCTAACCCAGTGTATACGTATGTATGTTTAATTAAGGTTTATTCTTTTGCTAATTCCTTCCTTCCCTCCTTTATTCTTTCCTTTCCTTATGCTTCAATCCTTTTTATTGTCATTCTTTTATTTACCCATTCATCTGCATTCATTCATTCATTCATTCATTCACCCATTCAATCATTCATTCAATACTTTACTCATCCATCTATCCATCCATCAATCCATCCACCAATCTATCTATCCATTTAATATAAAACACGGAGACGGAGCCTGCTCATCACATCTGCTTGGAAATGAACAGTTTTGACTGATGGCACCTGAGAGAGAGCGTCACCGGTGCAGATGAGGTGGAGTTGTAATGAATGTCTCAGGTCCAGACGTACCGGGCACCTCGGCTGTACCATGGCGGCCGCCACTCTTCAGACTAATTATACTCTCCAAAAAGCCAGTTTAGATTAATTTTATGGATAACATCATCTGGTCAGTCAAGACTATTGCGAGCTAGTGGAAAATTTTCTCTTTTTATGTATTGATATATTTTTCTCTATTTACACTCTTTAAAAACTAGTACTTTTTTGTCCGCTTATAATAAAATCAAAACTAAAATTAAACTTGGTCTGACCTCTTGATAACGACAAACTGGAACGGACTGAACTATAAACATTTCTGTTATAAGTAGTAGTATTATCATGAACCTATAATTACAATTAGCAATTCATCCAATGACAGCATGGCAAGTAGTGGTTCAACCAATGACATCATTGCAAGTAGCGGTTCAACCAATGACAGCATGGCAATTAGTGGTTGTACCAATGAGGGCACGTACAGCAGAAAGCTGGAGCTGGAAGGAGCTGGATACCTTGTGTTCCCTGCCCTTACTAGTACTCTCCAATCAGAGGTTAGGGTTTTGGCTTATTTTTGGCGTCTTTTTAGGCTTTTTTTTTTAATCGTGGTTTCTTTTTACACTGAAATTTTCTTGCCTACCCAGTGCATAGAAGAAGCCCCGGTAAAAAAATAAGCCCAAACCCAAACATCTGCTTGGAGAGTACCCACACACACATACAAATTGATTCTGGCGTGGATGTGATCCACGAAGTCCGGTCGGCGTGGCCTAATTGACCGCGCGGTGGTTGAGACGTTAGGCGGCTGAGTGTGACGCCTGCCCGCCGCATACATCACCATAACGGTGCCTGACCAGACTGATGAACGCGCACGTACGATCAATGTGACCTGCAGGCGGGTGGATACTTTACTCTGATGGCGAGACTTTGTGCAATGGCTCTCCCTCCCCAACCTGAATGTCCAGCACGATTGGCTAGAAAAGAAAGGGAGAAATAGATAAGTAAAGAATTTAGTGAGAGAGCCAGCAAGTGAGAGAGTGAGTGGGTGGGTGAGTGAGTGAATGGGTGAATGGTTGAGTGAGTGAGTGAGTGAGTGAGTGAGTGAGTGAGTGAGTGAGTGTGTGTGTGTGTGTGTGAGAGTGGTTGAGTGAGTGAGTGAGCGAGTGAGTGAAGTGAGTGACTGGGTGAGTGAGTGAGTGAGCGAATGTGCGCGGGCGTGTGTGTGTGTGTGAGTAGGTGAGTAAGTGGGTGACTAGGTGAGTGAGTGAGCGAGCGAGCGAGCGAGCGAGAGTGTCTGTGAGAGTGAGTGAGCGAGTAATAGAGTAAGTGACTGGATGACTTAGTGAGTGATTGAGCCAGCGAGTGAGTGAGCGAGTGTGTCTGTGTGTGCGTGAGTGAGTAACCGAGCAAATGAGTGTTTGTGTGTGTGCGTGTGTCTGTGTGTGAGTTGGTGAGTGAGTGAGTGGGTGTATGAGTGAGTGAGTGAGTGAGTGAGTGAGTGAGTGAGTGAGTGAGTGAGTGAGTGAGTGAGTGAGTGAGTGAGTGAGTGAGTGAGTGAGTGAGTGAGTGAGTGAATTAGTAAGGGAGTGAGTCGGTGGGTGGGAAAAATAATGGTTTAAACCTTGGGAAAGAAGCTGAAATCCGTTTTCATTCCTGTGACCATCTGGTTAAAAGAAACCGACGTCAATAGCCCTCATGCGGCCATGTGGTGTATTACACAGCACACTCAAACACAAACACACACAAACCCACACAGACATACAAATATAAAGGCACACAAACTTAAACGCAAATACACATAAAGGCGTACACGTAACAAATCATCGAAAGAAAAGTACGATAGTTAAATAACAGAGGAAAAGATTCTTTCAATAAGCTTGAAATGTACCTGTAAGCTTAGATTCGGCCCCACAAAAAAAGTTTGGGTCCTCATTAGCCTTTTATGAGTAAATTTTAAGAAGTCCCAATAAGATTTAGAACCGAAACTATATCTTATTTTCTGAAAGATCTACGGGGACATTTTAGTATAAGGGGGAGCTCAATATAGCCGTTACGTCAGCATACAGAGAAACTACGCCAATGTCGTAATGCAATTATTTCATTTCTCGCCAGGTGTCCCCACGTAAAGGATGTTGATGGTGACATGGAAAGGGGCTGAACAAAAAAGAACAATACAATCTAAATGTCATCTCTTAAACTTTCAATAACAGTGGAAGACAAAAGATCCCGTTTCTCTCTGAAATGTGTGGGTTTTGTAAGGACAGATTTTTTTGCTTGTTTGTAAACGTGGAAAATTATAATGGAATTCGGTTACGTCTTTAGAAAATTCACTTCTTTTGCATTTGTAGAGATAAATTTGATAAAAATTTTATCCACAAAAAAGTCGAAAGACAATTGCATTCGAAAAATAATTCCATTCAATCAGAACTTGCCAGTAGGCGTTAGAAGAAGGGAGCGACAATACAATTTTTATTGAATGTGAGCATTAACAAGACCTATGGTACGTATACATGTAACTTTGTATAGCTTTGTGCTATATGTAAGAATTAATTGCGTGTGTTCGTGTGCGCGCGCGCTTGTGTGTGTGTGTGTGTGTGTGTGTGTGTGCGCGCGTGTGTATGTGTATGTGTATGTGTATGTGTGTGTGCGCGCGTGCGTGCGTATTCGTGTACGTATGTACGAGTGTGGGTGAGTAGGTTGACACCACCTGGAAAATAGGAGATTGACAGACAGAATGACATGTCATTAAAAGGTCAGCGCCAGAAAATATGGTGACCTTTCACGTGTGTCAACGTATCTGTCGTTCGTTCTACTACCGCTAGGCGGCGCAAGACAACTTTGATTAGAAAACACGATAGGTTGCAGAAATGTATATAAACGTTTAGGCTTACCTTTTCTCGCTGCAATTTTTCTAACAGATTATACTAATTTTCACCTGACTGAATTAAGAAAAGTAGTGTTAAGTGCCTTCCCCAAAGGCACAGGATTGGTGACTTGATAGGATTCGAACCAGGGACCTCTTGGTTTGAATTTTTGTGTTTTACTCCCTAGATCTCTCAATCATGGATCCAGAGAGCAGTTTAGCCGACAGAAAAAAACATTTATTCCCTGTAGTAACTGACGACTTATAAATAATTTATTTCATGTTCAAACGTCGGGCTAAAACGTGTTTAAGCGTAAGGATTGACCTACATTTCATGTGGAAGGAATAGATAATTATGAGAAACAAGCAGTACAGAATATTTCCGTTATAATAATGATAATTGCGACTTACAGAACCGCTATACCCTCACAGTTAGGCCACACCGGCTTAATTTTATGGATGACATCCTCTGAAGACACCCAAACTAGTGCGCGCGGGCGAATAAAAATAATAAAATTCCGGCCAAAAAAATGCTACTAAACCACAGGAATACAAACCTGGTATTGTGAATTTGCGGCAATACGGCATATATACGACTACGACAAGCCGGCACATGCTGGCTTTTTGCAGAATTTATCAATCGGCACTGAGTTCTTGAATCGCCGAGCTTCGGTAGCCTGGGTGCCCGGCTCCGTATTGTCGCTAACTACCCGGGCAATAGAGCCAGGCCAGAGCCTCTGTGGGCGTGATCTTTTTCTTTTTTGAGAACAGGCGAAAATCAATGCGCGCGCGGATGTCATCCATAAAATTAAGGAGGTGTGGCCTAACAAAAACAATTCCAAGGTATTAACCGCAAGTTTCTGATGAATTGTCACTTTTAATTTATTCTCCATTCACTCAAACAAATCATTAAATCACAATACTATTTTGAGGTTCCTTCCCTCACCATGAGACGCAAAGGGCAGCGCCTATCTTCATCTCAATTGCCCCTGGGCCACACACAACAGTGCAATCACTACAGCAGGGGGCACGTCCACTGGTAGTGGTGTGTGTTTAACTCCCATACCCTCTCCCAATTGCTATTGTTATGACAAAATGCTTTTGTAAATAAAGGAACATAATGCCGTGTTATGATAACAATATATTCCTGTTCAAGTTGGCTGCCTAATATGTGTTTGGCCAGAAACCTGAGGTCCTGGGTTCGAATCCTTGCAGGTCAGTGACCATGTGCCCTTGGGAAAGAAACTACTAGTACTTTCCCGACTCCCGACACCCAGGTGTGAAAATGTGTGAAAAGGCGGTTGAAGGAGAGGGATGGGCACTGCATTTAAATACCGCGCCCCAAACACTGCATAAAAGATTGATAACATTTATTGTACATTCATGCCCTATCGGGCTAAGTACAGGTGAACAGATGAAAAGAATAAAGAGATGTTTGTAGTACAAACAGGACTACTGATACTAATCTAACTACATTATAGCTACTTTAATACAGAGGTTCAGCTTCCTCTCGTTTCTTTATGATGTTAAAGCTATAAATTGACATGGGTTTGTCTAATAAAAGATGATCAAAGCCCATAAGAAAGATGATTTTTTTTCTATATTAATGATAACCCACTGTCTCTACGGCTACAAAAAAAGGCTATGGTCTAAATTTGTATCATACAGAAGAAAGGTGATAGATTTTATGAAAATATGGGCTCAGTACTACATGTATTTGTGAATTCGTACCTATGCCTATTACAAAAATAACACTCTGTAAGCATTATATTTAATTCTATAGCTGAACAGCGAACCATATTTCCTGTTTATCTGTTTTATTATTAACTTACCAATTACCCTTTGTGCATTGTTACTGTGATTTAGATTTATTTGAAGTACGGGCAAATTAAAACGAATTAGGTTTTGGACAATATTTTTTTCCTATAGAGTGTTGATTTGATTATATGGATGACATCCGCGCGCGCATGAATTTTCGGCCGTTTCCCCCCCAAAAAAGTTTTCAACCATACTGTATATCGTACAAAACAGTTGCAAAATGAGCAAAAAAATACCATAAGTTACAAAAAATAAAAACTATACCAATGTCGTAGAATGCCAAAATCAAACGAAAAAAGACGAAATTGTAAACAAATGAACTTGAAGACTAGATTATTCGCCAAACCATATTCTGTGCCATTTGCTCAACCCTCATGACCACGTAGATTTCATAATGAAAAGACCTTTTTTTTATTTTGCAAAACTTTTTTTTTATATCCGCACGCGCGCATCAGTTTTGGGGCTCCCCGAGGATGTCATCCATATAATCAAATCAACATGGCCATCTTCGGTTAACAAATATTTCTTATATGTTTATTTGTTATACGATATTAGTTGTATCCATCACTAGGCGTTGTTTTAGTGTATTGTTTTCTTTTTTCCGGAACGACTAGAAGTTGATCCAATTGTTTTGCGGTCACTGCGGTGATATGCAGGTTCGTGACTTGCCTGTCTACGTGCCAGGTCAAGGGTCAACAGAATTATCCCTATCAATAGACGGTATAACACCCCCACTCCTAAACTATAATGATCGCTCCCTGTGTATGAGTCACTGTGAAACAAGAATGAACCAGTTTTTACGCTTCTGTTCAAGGATACAGATCTTATCTATTCCACATGTTTATCCAAAAATATTTATAAAATCATTGTGCCTTCCCGTTAGAAAATAGCTTGAGGCATACTATTTTAGCCTATACCAGGCTTTCTTATGGGGGTACGGATCGTAGAATTCGGCAAAAATAATAGCCTCCTCTGCAGACTTTTGTGGGAGAATCAATTTTTGGAGAGATTGCTGATACGCAATTTTACACGATATACGAATAAGAGAGGTTTGTGTTGGTGGCGGCATTAATATAAGTTGGAAAAACTTGAGTGTGCCGTCACCACGTCTGGTGAATTGATGATAGAAATTCAATATATATATATATATATATATATAAATAAGCCGGCGAGGAAGTTGGAGACGTAATACTACCTACACCCTTGACGGCAATCTCCCTCTTCATAATAATAACGCATTCATTGTAGATAAATTTATATTTCAAATGAGCTTAGACAAACCTTCTACATGTATCTTGCCTGTATACCATTACTAAGAAACGGGAAGAAGCCGAATTTACTTTATTTATCTAATTGTAGTTACTTGACGATGCATATGTAACGTTACAATGTAACTTACATGTATTCCATCCTTTTGTTGTGACCTGTACTTAACCAGTGGGTATGTGTGTACAATTAAGGTATCCATCCATTCATTGCACATAAGTCTGCAAAGGAGGCTACACAAGAAACCTAAAAAGGAAGGAATTAATTGGCCAGAAGAGTCCGTCCGCGTGAGGGTTAATTTCCCTCGAGCAAATGAACTGTACGGTGGCTAAACTCCCCTGGCTAATTATTCTCTGGCCTCCACCAGGCCTTTCTACGGAAATACGGATCGTAGAATTCGGCATAAGAGAGAGTAAAATTCGGCAAGGGAGTCCGGCTACGGGGAGGTAGTTTCTTTCTGGTCAAACATACAAGGCGGCCAAACTCCCCTGGCAAGTATTCTCCTATATATATAACCAATATAGCCAGCGTAGTTAGTTAAGTACTCTGGCCTCCACCAGGCCTTTCTACGGGAATACGGATCGTAGAATTCGGCAAAAAAAGAGAGTAAAATTGGCCAGGGGAGTCCGGCCGCGGGGAGGTAGTTTCTTTCTAGTCAAACCTACAAGGCGACCAAACTCCCCTGGCAAATATTCTCCTACATATAGCCAATACAGCCAGCGTACATGTAGTTAGTCTGGTAGAGACTAATTATTCTCCTTATGACTAAATGTTACTGATTTTGAACCCATGTATAGCTAGTCTGGTGGAGACTACATAATATATTGTACAAATGAGTCAGGTCAGAGGCACCAAAATTCAATTTTAAGGCGGCAAAGCACAAAAAAATATCCTGGATAAGAAAATCTGTCTACGTGAGACGTGTATCTATTTTTGTTGCGTATGTACCGTCCATGAATAGCATTCGATAAAAAACAAGCAACTGTTTTTCGTCAGTGACATCGCATTTTTGTCTCACAGATATCAGTATGCTATAGGATTGACTTAGCTTGTAAGAATGACAAGAAAATTGAATTGAAAAATCAAGTTTTGCCGCACTGAATAGAATTGGAGATTAGCTTCAATTATTATTATTACTACCATTATTATTAATCTTTATTGCATGTTCTTGCCCAGATGGGCTAACTGTGCTCTAGGGGATACCACCTCCCTACAAAGATGTTAGCGGACTGTCCCACAGAATTCGTGCGAAGGCCGATAAAATCGCTGTCTGTGTGATCCTCGATGCGTCACCTAGGGGCATGCCATACACTATTTATCGTCAACGTCTCATCTCTGGACTTCACAGCTACAATATCTTCACATATGTGCGTTTTGTGTCAGGATTTCAGTCATGGCGATACCTTGTCCCTCATCAAGATTCCCTTTGTGAAAGGCGTACTCGTAAACCGTTTAATGAATCACTATCGTCGACAAATGCGCGATTGATTTGGAATGAGTTGAGAGGAGTGACAATGGAGGTAGGTGCTACAGAGGGAGGGGCGAACCTGCCCGCGCCCTTGGTTCTACCGTTATTTGTCACCGTGTTTGTTCTTCTGGTTTCATGGCTCCTGTCAAGAGAGTCGCATGTGAACGTTACAAAGAGGAGAGACGTGGGGTTGACAAATAAGACCGCTGATAGCGCCGCGCGCTTTGAGGAGAGAACAAATGGCGGGCTGCAGACGATAGCTGAGGAATGGGAAAATAATGGCGGGCTGAACAATGGCGGGAACAGCGAGCACGACAAGTTTGCAAACTGCCACCTCAGGCTAACACTGACGATCAAAGAGGTGGGATGTGTGCTGCCAACACAATCGACTTTCAAACGACAATTATTGTCGGGGAGAGGTATTGAAAACGTCGCCCGATTGGAGTCAAACGACAGTCGGGACTTTGCACCGAGTCGGGACCACAGCCAAGACCGTCAGACGACACTCGGAGGAAAAACAGACGACTTTTCTGTCAGAAAGGATGCTCTCTCAGTGAAACATCCTCCGGATTTCAACTTGGAGTCACGAGTTACGAATGCTGCTTGGGAAAAATTGCAACAGGGATACAAATATGACTTTCAGGAAGCCACAGTACCTTTCGAAACAAGAACCCAGCGGATTTCTGAGGAAGAACTGCACTGTGATGTAACTGTGAGGGAAGAAATCTGTGAAAAACGACGTAGCAGCGAGACAGAGTGTCATTCTCGGAACCCTGAATTTCGGGTGAGTCACAGACACGACACAAGTACGATACTACAACAGGTGACAGTAACTAGCAGCCAGAATATTATCAAAGAAAATTCTACGTTTGAAAACCGTAGAAGCGCGAATGAATCAAAGAGTTTCCTCAGACATCCCGGTAGTTTTGAACCGAGAAAAACAGACGATAGTTTAAGCGGAGATGACGTCATCGGTGTAACAGGTGGTTGTTCAAACGATCTTGAAAAATTCGCTTTTCCCCCAGAGGTATATAGCCATGAATCAAATACTGAAGACCTTTATGAAAGACATGACGCTTCTGTGTTGTTTGAAAGCGTAGTTCCATCTGTGAAGGGCGATTTGACACACAGGGGAAACTGCGATGGTCGTTCGGAACCGCTAATCTCCAATTCGCTATGCACATCACCGCCAAATTTGTCTCAAGAGGACCGTGAGGCCAGCCGGATAACATCAAAGACCTGCTTACGTGACTTGAGTAACGCCAGAAACATGGCGCTCAAGTCTATACTCAGAAATTCGCCTTCCAAGGAAAGCCTGAACAAGATTTGTGATAGAGGTCAGAAGGTCACCGAGAGGACAAATAAAGATGGCGGCCGTCGTGAGGTAGAGACGACCCAGGTAACAGCTGTTCACACGATTGCTGGGAAACGTAAAGAAAACACGGCGACCGATAGTAACCTTTCCGAAGGAAATAATGTACAAACAGACCATAACCACAGGAAACAGCAGTTGTCAGAGAAAATTGCTAGCTCCAAAACAGAAGCTTCACTTCAAATAACAAACACAGAGTCACGGTTCAACTCCAACGATAATGTCCAATCACTTTGTTCCAAAGATCCCGGGTTAAGTTCAAGGAAACTAACAAACCCGAGCTTCCTTGAAACGGAGATTCCGGTTGGTCAGGATTTCTATCCGGTACGTGACGGCACGGAAGGAAGCACTAGTTTGCCAGGGCAGGAAATCTCCAGCGATAAAATAACGATTGTGGGTAATTCCACGCACACTGAGCACACTACTACAGGTGCTTGTGGGAATAAATCCGATACTGTGCGACTTGGCACGTACTCAGATTCTCTGTTATCATCCGCCACAGAAAATCCTCCAATAAGCTTCATATTCGTCATTAGCAAGAGAAGAGGCTCTAAGCAGATCGCTGGGGGACTGAATGAACCCGGTGGAATTCTCAGCGGCCACAAAAACGACCAAGAAAAGAAGGATTTAGAGCTCAATAGAGCTGATGTGTTAGATAAAGAACCGGGGGTGAAATCGGGGAAGCAAGGTGGAGAAGGGCACTCATACCGGAGTTGCCACGGAATTAAAAGGACAGCGGAACAAAAGACGGATTTACAGCATGGTAAACATGTCCTGACAAGAAATACTGGCGCAATAATACCGGCGTTTGCGAGCGCAAACATGTCGCCAGGTTTTGGCAATGGGACAGAGGGGGCAATTAATGTGCGTGAGACTCAAACACAAAAACCTGGGTTGACGTTTGGCTGCGACCTAGAAAACCCCACGGTAGAGGGCAAGGCTGTCAAGCAAGGGGGGAATCTAATCGCAGAAAATTGTGGCCAGCAAAACAATTCAGAAAAGGGGAGCCAAAACCCCACCAAGTCTGTAACGTTCAAGTTAGAACGTGAAATTGCCGAGACAACCGAGGGACAAAACCAGCGCGCGCGATTCAATGGAGGAATCAAGAATAAGTCTAAAGACACAATAGCAAGCGACCCTGGTAATGGATTAGAACTATCAGAATTTGAAAGCGCGCTGACGACACTCAGTGAAAACAGACACTCCGCGATCCCCCCGAACGTTGGCACGGTAAATAGCGCTACAATAGCCGGGTTGGACAGTGTGGACTCAGGGCTATTACAGTCTGACGGCTCTAACATAAAGGGTAAACGCAGGAACATGGCCGGGCGCAAATATCCTCTCCAAAACTCTGAAGCACGTCAAGGAACTGAGGAGCGGGCAAAGGATATGCCCAGTTTCTGGCAAGCTTATGACTTGATGCTAGAAACAGACAGTGATACAACTAGCACCCTGTCCAGCCCGACTTTCGGCAGCTCGACCAACGCTTCATACGGCGGCTCGAGCTCAAACAGTTCTTCCGACTTCGACGTTTGGAAATTCGACTGGGGACTGAAGAATAAGAGAAGAGAGAAGCGAGAAGACGCGACGGCGAGGACACTAAGAAAGAAAGACGCCATAGCTGAGACAACGGACAGCTCGGAAGATTTGGAAGCAACGCTTGAAAAGAGCGGCCCGGACCTACAATATAAGCAGACAAGTAAAGAGGTTTACTTATTAACCGATAGGCAAACATGTAAAAACGGTGCGAGTACGCGTATCAGTAACAAGTCCGCTCAAATAAATCCTGGGCCGCGGGGCGGTGAGAGGGAAGGAGAGCGGGAGGTTCAAGGCGACTTGACAGGTACAGATCACCCTGATGACCCGATGCACGGCGGAACGGTAACGTCAAGTGAAACTGACATGGACAATCAGTACGCAAAAGGGCGGGCGTTCGCCCTGGTCTCAGCCGGCCGACCTAACGGACAACAAAGGACCCAAAACGTCAGGGGAGACCGTACTCCGTCGGAGAATTCTAGGACAAACTTTTTCGACGCAAACTTTCCTAATGGCCGAGTTTTCGTGGCATTGGGAACAAAGGGGGAAGTGACGAGAGGTGTTAATGGACACACCGGCTCGATTAACGATGATTTAATTAGCCGTGAAATTTCCGTTGCCGGGGCAACGTCAGGTGGAACGACGGGTAGAGGTCAGAGAGGTCACGGGTCGCCAGGTAGAGCGGGTCGGTACGGGAGCAGAGAGCGAGTATCCGCCCGCGGAGAGAGCGCAAACAGCGGGCAGGAAACCGTCAACAGCCCGGCCATCACCGGCTCACTTCCCGTCATAACCGTCACCAGTGATGACGAGGATCGACCGCAAACTAACGTCATCTTCTTCAAGGACAACGACACGTCTTTGGACGACATCAATCGCTGCAAGAACAACAACAACATCGATTCAGCCGACGGGGGTTTAGACATCACGTTAACACGGAGCTTTTGGACGAAAAGTTGCGACCCTCTACCGGGAAGTAAGAAAGCGGTAGATCTGGTTAAAGACTGGGCGGACAAGGCAGGTAGTCTACCGGACGTGAGAGTTGCGGCCACCGTCTTTTCTGAAAACTTCAAGAGAGCTCGTCAGTCAGAAATCGCGAACTCTTTCGGCGTCCTGTCACCACGTTCTCCGAGTGATTTGCACCCAGAAAAAGTAGGTTGTGAGGAAGGGGACACTTTGTCAGGTCGGTTTCCAGGGAGTAAAGGCGCCGACGCCGGCGACACTTGTCAAAACAGCCGCTCGGGTATCGACAACACGAGCGGTACTGTTACAAGAGACCGTCAACATCATTTCCCCAGAACTCAGTCGGATATGGTGGTGTTTCAGGGTCCTGTGCCGAGACATGGACTTAACGGTGGAGAAGAAAGAAACAGCAACAATATTCGAACTGGGGAGCAAGGTAGGACAGGCGAGGAAAGAAGTCAGGAGAACGGAGATGTGAAACATTTCGGCGTCGAGCCGATGGATAAAGTCTCCCCTCGCCGGTCTGCAAGCGCGATGGAGCCGAGAGAGACTGGACCTTTCTTCCGCTCTGAAACTCACATCGACATACCTGCTGCTAAGCCGTTACGCCGGCAAGACAGCCTCACAAAATCCAGCGGTATCTTCTTCTCCTCTCTGGATTTTGTCAACAAACCCGCGGCACGGAGCGAAGCCAAAATAACCACCGGGCGCGCGACTGACTTAGACACCGCCATGCGCCGTAACAGGGAAGGCGAGTTCAAATTGATCTCTACGTATCCTGGAGACCGTGTTGTCGCCCGTAGCCGCGTGAAGGGTCAGGGTAACGCTGACATCCTCAGAAACCAACAGAGGAAGGCTAGAACGCCCCGCTCACGCTCCAAATCTCCTAACGAAGTTAGGGTACAGGAGGCTCTACGGAAATTGGACCTCCCTGGTTGGTATGTCAACTCAGATGTAGCGAAAGTCGGGACCGAGTCCCCTGTTTTGAAGAGGTCACGCTCAGCCGACACCACTCTGTCAGACTCTGGAGTTGGTACCTTACCGAGACAAAATCAAGGGGAGAAGATGAGCTCGCCTACGGGAGAAGACTCCCACCCCCTCCCGAGGAAGATCTCGCCACCTTCCGGCCAAGAACCAGGACCTTATCGAGGTCGGCGACAAAGTAGAGAAGAGAGACTGTCGGAGTTCTACAGTCAAAGAAAACTCCACCCATACCCCAACAGAAGAAATTCACAGGTAACATATTCAAACTTATTCACTTATGCTATTTTGTTCAAAGTTTACTGTTTAACAGGCCATAACCAAGAATTTGAGACTTATTCTCCACCACACGTTTTTTTGTTTTCTTTCCTTCGAAAGGTGCAGACGAGTAGAAAACAAAATGTCGACCCTACACAAACTGAATAATCCTCTGTGCAATTAAGTTTATTGACCCTGGGAAGGTGATATACTTGATAAAAGAGCCGGATTGTTTAAACGATAAACAAATAACGGAACGCAAACTCGATTTTCTACAAAGAAAAATACCTCGAATCGTTGTCTTTGTAAAAGGATATTTTTCTTCGCAAACCACAGGGCAAACACTAGTGGTCTGTGTTTGTGTAAATTATTGTTTCCAGAACTTTGCTTTATAAAAAAAAACTATGCTCAGGTATGGTTCTGGATAGTCCCAGGCCTCAAAATCAACTTAAATTGTCCCAGCACTGTCCCGAAAATAGATTTCAATTGTCCCGAAATGAGCATGAACTGTCCCAACCTGTTTTTCGGAAAGTAGGTATGACTTCAACTTGAAGTCAACTTCATTTTGCTTCTGTTCTGTCTCCCAGAGTTGACAGGAAATTCGGAGGAACTTTTCCGGAGCCAAAAGCTAGGACGTGTGCCTTATTAACAAAAGAAGGGCTGACATTCTGATGTTGATTATTTTTCTATTGTCCCAAAAATATCCCAAAGTGTCTTTTTAGTTGTCCTGACCTAATTCTTAGTGGCCATTGGCCATCGGGACACTGTTGATTTCTAGCCCTGTAGTCCACGCGTATCAAGAACCAATCCTTGGTCAAATCTGCGTTGTTGGATACAGAGAAACTATCTAGGCCTTCTACTAGGTAGACACCGTTTACTTTCCAAGCAGACGTTTGGGCTTCGGCTGATTTTTGGCGTGTTTTTTTTTTGTGTGGCTTTTCTTGTCGTGCTTTCTTTTTTCTACTGGTATTTTTTCTGTACCAGACCCCCAGATAAAAATCCAGATTAAAAAACAAGCCTAAAAACACACTAAAAATAAGCCTTCTGTATCCAATACGGTGTAGTTTTTCAAGGAAAGTACAGATAAGGAACAAGTATAACCCCTTTGTGTCTTTTTTCTTTCTGTCCCAGGCCAATTGTAGTACATTAAGCCAGCTTTTTGGGTTGCTTTTTTATCGGGGTTTCTTTTTTGTACTAGTATCTTTTTTATGCCAGACCAACAAAAACCCTGTTATAAAAGCCTAAAAACACGCTAAAAATAAGCCCAGACCTCTGCTTGGAGAGTAGGCCCAGTTCTGTATACAATAGACCTTCAGTGAATCCAACATATCTCTATGGCCACGAACAAGTTGTTCGCGACATTCATTAATAGACTTGGCAGGTCGCCAAATCACGCAACACACCTGCACGGCGACTATACAAGTAACCTGTCTTGTGAACTCAAGACATTACCGGTAAGACTCCTTGAGCACGTATTCTCAACATCCTCCAAACCCTTAATACCCCACAAGATGTTGTTACACACCTATACAGCTTTTAAAGACGTTAAATAACCTAAACAATGGTTGTTTCTAATCTCAACCTTATCACTGCTATCAGGATGTCAGGGTCTTTGTTTGCCGAGGACAAACCGTGTATTAACCCAGGAAGCCTGTATATTGACGTGGAGTGATAAAACTGTATACTGAATGCACCATAATTGACTTATTTGCATGTTCCCTGTCTATGGTTAAAGCCAAATCTCATTAGAGAGGCAAAATGGCAGTCGTGAGAAGATCGATGACGTGCGTGTAAAAGGGGGTAGGGTACGCTAAAGACCCTTCAAATTTGTTGTGTGGTTTTGGCTTTGTGTTAGGGACAAACTTGTTTGCTTGACGATTGGTCGCAGATACAGGCCCAGTGTATCCGATACGGTGTTGTTTTTAAAGGAAAGTACAGTTAAGGAACACATATAACACCTTTGTATTTTTTTTTCTTTCTTTCCCAGGCCAATTGTAGTAAGCTTTTTTGGTTCTTTCAATACATTAATTTAACACAACTTACTTCGTAGGAATTTTTTTATTATCATTCAACAGAACAAAGTGACGCTACCCCCAAAGTTGCTTAAACTATTGTACCGTCGCTACATAAAAACATAAACTGCGTGGAAAGGAAAATTGTGGCTTTCTGATAATCATTAAATTTGTTGTAATATGTAAAAGCTACTTTTTGCGCTTTCCTAAGGCTTCTGTGAAATTATTAATATCGTGCAGTTATCGTCATAACTGGTTTATAGTTCTGTATTAAATTATAGTATCTTAATGCAATAGGTTAGTTCTGTTTTCTTGTTATCTGGACGTTACCCAATGTAATATTGTTTTGTCTTGTGTTGTAATTCTTATTTAATGTCTAGTGGTGACGTGAATATAAGCATATTTCTTGAGTGCGTCACCACTATGTATCGCATTATTTGCACGTTAAAATTTAAAAAAAGGACTGTGCATTCAAGATGCTGAAAACCCACACTAACGCTGATTTATATCACATTTAGTAATACTATTTATTATTATTATTATTATTATTTTTATTATGACTATTAGTATGTAGGTATTTAGTATTAATCTAAGGACGAGAATGAACAGCGTACGAGTGACCATGCCATGCAATTTCAGGGCGGCAAAACGAAAAATATACAGGACTTTATTTTTTGGGTACCACCCATGATTTGACCCGTCCCAACCACGATAAACTATCAGGCTACCCCAATATAGATAATAAAGCCTTGATCTCTATGAAATCCATATTTAGGACAACAGAGAGGCCCAGTCGCCACCTGTGTGTAACGGGGCAGTTGCCATGGTCGCCGCCGAAGACTCGAGTCCCGAGCAAAACCGAAGGTCCACGACGGCAGCCGAACCCGACTCTCGGGAGTCCACGCCCGAACACTCCCCGAAGGCAGCTGGCGACCATGAAAACGAGGTTCAGTATATACACGTACAAACTTACACAAAAGATACAGAAGTTTATGTCACTCAATAAAAACATAGTCCTTAACATTTCGAACCGCATTGCTAGTCATACCTAGCTTCAGTGCACAGTAAACCAGTCATAAATGCCTTGATGAAGATGACAGATTGTCATTGAAATGTCAGCCTTTGTTCAACAAGTGGATGTGAATAAATAACTTTACTATTAAATTATTTACAACCCAAATTAAACCATTCACCGTTAGTTCTCTAGACTCCCTAACTGATCGAAGAGAAAAGTGTTTTATTCATAACACTTTGTTTACAACAACTGACGTTTTTGTGATTTTTAATCAAGGCATTTATTTACTGTGCACTAATGTTAATGCGGTCTCAAACGTAAAGTAATTGTGACCTACATAGATAATATTATAACATAGGTGTTACCTGTTGCCATTCTATTCAACCATTTACCAACCATTCACCAATAATATAATGTAATAATGAAATCATTACTCCGTGAAGGAGGTATTGCTCCTGCAGGAGTATTGTGGTCAGTCGATTTTTCGTGTTTGAAGCTAAAACATACAGTTCCCTTTGTTTAATCGGCACGTAATTTTATACGTTGTCTACAAACATGGCAGTGATAATACTGATTTTGAAATTTAGAAAGTTTATTGCAAATACTTGCACGAGGACTAATTGCAGTTACAAACAACATAAGAAAGAAAATACAGTGGTATGTGAGACTATATCTACGTGTAGCATTATATATTCTACATACTTGGTACTAGTTTTACTGGGTTTGACTTGGTACTAGTTTTACTGGGTTTGACTTCTTCTTTTTAGGCAATGGAAGACGAATTTACCCACTTCTTCTATAATATGTGGGTTCTTTGATTTTAGTAGTAAAATTGTTTTTTCGTGGTAGGGAATGGTGGGGAAGTAAGGGAGCATTTTGGACACGGTGGTAAATAATTGTTTTGTGATGTCGTCATAAAATGGACAGTTAGAGATTAAATGATTAAATTAAGTGTTCGCAGCTAAAAGATAATGTTGTGCCCATTGTATTTCTTATTTATGTTCCGTATATGATTTCAGAGAATCAACACGACCTGGAGTTCCTCAGAGATGAGTATCGACCTGCCGAGTTCCGAGGGTAGACCAGAGAGCGCCCAGCCTACACTGTCTCCCCCGGTACACCGGAAAACTCCCCCCGTCATCACTCTGTCGGCGTCTCCCACAAGGTACGGGGCCACGCTCTCCTTTTAAGACAGCGTCTTGGGCATAGCGGGTCCGTTATGCATTCAGAACCGTTAATATCTATGCCTAAATGGATTGGGTTCTTGGTAGTCTTCGCGTATCCAAGAACGATTTGCTCAAGGCTCGGTTCTGGATACGCGCGGACTATCCAGAATCTTGCCCGAGCATGATTCGAGATAAAGCACGGTTCTGGATACGCACGGACTATCCAGAACCGTAAATGAGCATAGATCTAGATAAAACACGGTTCTGGATACGCACGGACTATCCAGAACCGTGAATAAGCATAGTCCTAGACAAAACACGGTTCTGGATAGGCATGGACTATCCCGAAACGTGAATGAGCATTTCTAGATAAAACACGGTTCTGGATACGCACGGAATATCCAGAACCGTGTCTGAGCATAATTCTGGATAAAGCACGGTTCTGGATACGCACGGACTATCCAGAACCGTGACTGAGCATGATTCTGTTGGAGTGTTTTATATAATCTCCAAGAAGATCATTCGGTGGCAAGGCAGTATCCACTGGCCAGAGGAGTGTCCATTAGCACGAACAATTTTTTATTGCTGTTAAAAGGGGCACAAGGAGGGGCAGCAACACCACTTTTGAAAAGAAGTGCTCCTCCCTGTGCGAGTACTAGCAGAACTTTAATAGAGTCGTGTGGCGTAGCGGCAGAGTGCTCGACTCGGAACCAAGTGGTCCCGGGTTCGATTCCTGACATGCCCCCGATCTTGTGCCCTTGGGAAAAGAACTTTACACGACTTTCATCACTTCACTCAGGTGAAAATGAGTATTGTATTGTCCCCTGTGTTGGTGGCGGCATTGATATAAATTGAAAAAAAAAAACTTAAGAGTGCCGTCACCATGCCTTGTGACTACATGTTGGAATATTAAAAAAAAACTTTAATAAACACTCCTCTGGCCGAAAGATACTGCCTTGCCACCGTATGATCTGCACAGAGATTATTAGAATAAGGATATTTTACATTACGCACGAAACCACGCTCAATGATAAACCAAGGGCTTATGACTTTCGTGTATTCAAGTGCCTGACAGTAAAAGCATTTCGGTCATAGTGTTTATCTCCGGCACTCCTGAACCACTTAACGCCGCAGCTGGCTTAAATATGTATTTTCAATCACGGTGCCAAGGATTGAATCGATCTAATCTTACACCTCATTTCTACAACAAATTACTCGATAAATTACATATTTACGTACAGTCAAATGACTGCGCTATTTTTGACTACGACTGGGCTGTCTTTTTTAATTGTGCACAAATGGATTAGTGCATGGTCCTATTATCTTATTCTAGTTTTACTTATAGCATACGAAATTTCATTTTCTAAGCTGTGGGTTTGTGTGTATGTTTATCCGGACAGGATACGTTGACAGGCCTAATGATGTTTCGCAAATAGTTCCCATTATGAATTTTTTTCACATTTTTTTTGTGCAAAAAAACCCTTACCTATAACATCCAGCTCCAAAAGAGGAACAGATCCCAACATTAAGAAATTTTACACTGTTTTTTGTACATGCGGTATCGATATGTCATATCCGTGATCTTTACTAGGCACTATAATGGAAGTGTAAAAGACAGGAATGGAGTGGATGATCAGGACTGAGCATATATACATTTGAACAAACATCTCTGATGCTTTGTTTTGTTTTCCGTTAGGTATGCAGCTCTCACCAGATCCAACCCAAACCTTCACGAACTCGGGAAAACTGACGAACAAAACGTGACGATCACGATCACAGAGACGCCCCGACTGGACGCGCCGTTCACCGGGATGAAGGATCTGGAGAACCAGCAGGAAGACGTGAGTTTGGAGGACATGCTGGACAGCCTCCTTGCTTTAGGGTCCAGACGAAGTAGTAAAAGTGGCTCCCAAAGTCCCAACGAAGTCAGGCGGTTGAGTGAAGACCGTTTGGATAATCTAGTCGCCGAAACGTTACCTTTCGAGCGGCGTGCGTCCGATCCTGGAACGGCGAACAACCAACTCGAGTCGACTCTGAACACAACCGACGACTTCGCGGAGGCTTTGGAAGCCTTGAACACTACGTCATCATCAGTTGATGACACGTCACTCATGAACACCACGTCGTCGTCATTGGATACTGCTGTAGAGGCGAACACGTCATCACCAAAACCACTGACGTCGCCGTTTCAGACGACGTCTTCGTTTTTTGAGACGGCGTCCTCCGCCGCGCCGGATACGACAAGCGGGAGCTTCTCCGCCAGCGAACTGAGAGACATGGTGACGGAAGAGCTCGTCACAGTGCGATGTTCCTACGCCAAGTGCAAAAGAGCCGCAGAACTCAAGGAAGCAAGGCAAAGTTACAAGTCGTGTCACAACTGTTACACCTACTACTGCTCTAGAGACTGCAGGAAGAACCACTGGGAAAGGCACAAGAAGAAGTGCGTCTTCTCGCAAATCAACAGCGCGTGCAAGCACATCCTCCAGTACTCGCGGACCAATGAGGAAGCTCAGAAGTGCTTCTCGCGAGTCGCGAGAACTGGGTACCTCTCGCGAGGCCGTGGGTGCGTACTCTTGAGTTTCGCCTCCTTACAAGACGCGCAAGACTTCCTGAACTCAGGACTCCCCGCCCTCCCCACGTTACCGGGCTACAAGACCTTCCGCGAACTTGAAAGCGCGCAGACGGAACAGAAAGACCCGCACACGGAGACGTTGATCACCATGGTTACCACGTATGACCCGGATGTAAAGCTGGTTCTGGACGTGTCCATCTCTGTCGATACAACAAACGTGAAGGCTAGTCTCGTTCCCAGGAGAGAAGGACCAAACATCCGGCAGTGTGCTAAGGTGAGTCTTCATTAAACTTATTTCCTGCCAATCTTGACAGAAAAACATGCATATTATCTGCAAATGGCTAGTTTTAAGAAGTCAACTGGAAAGCAATGATTTTAACTGCAAATGGTAAAAATGAGAAATTGGAGATTTTCTCATTAAAAAAAGACAAAACAAATCAACAAGTATCACGCAAGTTTTTTTTTTCTTTAACCCGAACGGGGTCCACCCGAACACCCGAACACCCGTCCATTTGGACGCCAGGCGTATATTTTTATGTGCTATTTGAAATTTTTTGATTAAAAAAAAAATTCCTCCCGAGACTTTCTCAATAAACTTCTTCTTCAAGTTCTCCTAAATTTTTCGGTCATTTCCGTCGCAAAAAAAAAACAAACAAAAAACGTTCAGGTGTTTGACTGTCAATGGTTGTGCCTTGGATCATTATCATCGAGTAAAAGCAAATAGAATTCAAGAGGAAAAGACTAATGGACTATTACATAATATTCATTGTCCGCTAGAAAGAGCTTATGATATATTACAATTATAAATATTGTGCATCTTAGTCTAGCCTTATTACCATAAGTCAATTCATGTCACCGAGGTGACCAATTATTTAAGTCACACATCGTCTTTTCAATAACGTAATCCAACGCAATTCCTATCCCCCTCCAGCCAGCTTTTCTAAAAAGCACTTCTAATGTTTCAGATCCGTCTTAGTGAGAGACACATCGTCAAAAAGACGAGAGAAGAGAAGTCAGACGAGCCGGAGGGCGGGACGATGATACTGACGTCACCGCCCGGGTCTCCGGAGAAGCTGCAGCTGCTGAGCGACAGGAGATCTCGCGAGATTTGCTTCATCAACATCCAGCGGAACCTCCGCGCGAGAGGAGTCATCTTACGTCACCAGTACCCGGATGTTTACCGGAAACTGTGCGTCTATGTGGAAAAGAACGAGTCGTTTCCCCCCGTGACTATCTACCCCCGAGACACCAACACCGGAAAGACTTTCATGTGTCTCATCATGCCGGATTCGGATCCGGAAATTCTGGAATGGGTTCAAAATCCGGATTTGCTCGAGGATATCATTGCCTAAGTTTATGGATGCAATAGGAAAACTAGAGCTAAGGTGTTGGACGTCTTCTGATCAGCCACGAACAAATGTACAGGTATTTAGTTTTCATTTTTTGTGGTCACAAGTACAAATCGTGACGGCTCATTACTAGAAATAACGCTTGAAACTGCTTAGATTGTGAACTGTCTTTACAATTCAAATGGACATTTTACTGTTACATTCTGTTTAAACACAAGTGGTTTTTTTCTGACCTAAAGCTTTCGATCAGTCACTCTTGTCTTCTTCAATTGACTGATTTAGTGAGACATTGAAACAAACGTTTTTATCAACTTCAAACAAAAAAAAAAAATGACAGAATGCCTTTAACACCTGAACAATGTGTAGACCCCTATAATATGACGGAGTCAAAAAAGTCCACCTTTTTTGTTGGTTAAAAACTGCTCTCTTTACATGAATTACAACACCTGGAGACACCGTAACTTTTTTCTGACCTTTCTCTTTTTGGCTCCTTGGATCAAATTCCCAAATTTCAGCACCCTCAACACAACAAGTATTCAACTCCTGGTGCATGTCTAATCTGTGGAAGGACAGATGTACAGACTTACAAGTAGGACGTCTGCTTAATCTGTTATTTTAAAACACTCATGGGTTTTCTTAATGACGTTTTAGTGACGAAAATTTTATCTTAAAGTTTTAATGTTTGTATGAGAATTGATCTTATTTTAGAATGAAAACAAAACTTCGTTTCGCGGTGATACTCCTAGATGAAATGGAACAAAAAAAATTCAATGAGCAAAAAATTGCTCAAAAACAAGTTTGTATATTTAACTCAAAACTTTAAACACTGTAACGCTGTGTTTCAAAAAACAATCTGTAGGATTTGAATTTAATAACGGTTACAAACCAGGTTTTGAACTATTCAATTTAAAAATGATTTACTGGTGTGCTTAACGAAGCAAAATAAGCTATGATAATGATAAAAGAAATCCCCATAGGAGTCGCTAAAAACCTTTGATTCATATTTTGCAACTTTTCCCCGTCGTCCGATGATTTTTAAAAGGTATACCTCAGGTACCTTATTCTAGAAGGGAATTCCTGTCATTGTCCCCTTTATTTTGTTAAGTTCCGATGCAACCATCCGGAATGTTCTGCATTCTCGGTTTTCTCCCACGGTTCGCGCTCCAATCTCACGCTCCGTCTGATTCGCTCAGCCTGTTACACTTGCTTGGTTACCCACCATTCAAAACACACGAGACAAAAACGCAATAGACCAATCCCGTAGCTCCTCCCACCCCGTCAAAACGTAGACATTTGACAAGCATACAGCAACTTTCTCATTGGCTGAATCGCTAATTGCTTTGCTCTTATTGGTTGAACTGCTAATTGTGATGGACAGTCAGGAGTAGTGCATTATTAACCAGAGTAATTTGATGTTAAACACAACTCGACAAACCATGTCGAGTACAAATCTTTTGTAATATTCGACAGCAGAATTCTGTTTCTTAAAATCACAAAATGTTTTGATTCTTTGCGAAAAATGTAGACGACTTTGAACTTAAAAATTTTGATCCTAGTACCAAGACAAATCTCCACATTTTATTTTCCTAAGATACTTTTTTAAGTCTATAAATAAAAATCAGCATTTATCGGAATGACTAAGGGCTTGTATTGTGTCTTGTATTCGACAGCGCTATTAAAAACGTATTTGTCGACCGGATATTTGAACGTGCCCTACAATGCAAACATGTCAAATCATATCAATGGCTTTTAAATTAGGCATGTCTTTATTCTATACAGGTCGCGACTTACATCGACAAGCTGTCACGTTTGCACACTAATTGATTACGTATTACGTTCTCTAGGTCAAAGTTCATAACAAGGTGGCTGGATATATGTTCTAGTTTGCATACTTTAAAATTTGAAAAAAAAACATGTAAATTATGCAATTAAGTAAGATGTCAATCATATTAATTATTAATAATACAATGTACATATTTTTCAAGGCAAGCTTTGTGTATGTAATAGCTATAGAACTGATATTATATTTTGAATATAGCAGCGTCTTATGTACATAGCAACCTCCGTTTGCAAATTGTTTTGTGTAAAAGTCTTTCTGCAATACCTCAGTGGAGTATTGTTCATGTTCCATGTGTGATAATTATGTAGCATATTTTTTTTACAGTTTGATATTGTATAAATTGTTGCAATCTTGTTGCCACTTTTCACCCACGTTGTTGCACTTGAAGCATTGAATACACACGTTTGTATACCACGGTATACCGGGTTGTTTTCTGTGCGTTCTTAAGTTAATGAGTTCATTCTCTCTCATACGAACTGTATGTATGTGTGTACGTGTCTGTCTGTTTCTCTGTGTGTGTTTATGTATGTATGTATGTATGTATGTATGTATGTATGTGTGTGTGTATGTGTGTGTGTGTGTGTGTGTGGGTGTGTGTGTGTTTGTGTGTGCGCCTGTGTGTGTATGTTTGTGTGTGCGCCTGATTAAAATATGTATGGCAACTGCGCATGCATGAATTTTCGTCCGTTTCCGAAAAAAAAAGTTTTCGACTAAACGGTAAATTGTCTTCCAATTGTGTTTTTTTTTCAATTTACGGCAAATATTTTGTCAGTTTGCAGCTAAAACGAGACTTAGTCGGAGTATGCCAAGATTCGTTCCAAAGGACAAGAAGAAAATATAAAGGAATGAAAATTAAGAGTCTATTACTAGTATTCATTGTGCCAATAAAATATAACTCTGTGTGTTTAGTCATTTGTTCAACCTTCATGATCACCTGGATTTCATAATGAAGGCAAGTTTTTTGCAAAACTTTTTTTATTCGCTCGCATGCATGAGGGGTTACCAGAGACAGTCATCCATATAATGAAATTAACATGGCCTTAGAGTATAGCTTTAACCTTTATTCGCTTGTCTTATATCATTAAAATCGACATAATTAGGTACATGTCGACAAACAGACCCCATGTCAAAACGCCGAAGACCATGACGTCACTTGTCACTCAATATAAAGAGCAGTGTCATGACGTTAAATCAAATACGCCAAATTTTCCATTCACTGCAAATTTCATGTTGAAAGGCTCTAAAATATATTATTTGAGTTAAAGCACAAAGGAATGGGACCAATAGTGGACTTGAATTGTAACTCGCTCACATGGTTTGAAGGGATGTTCCTTTTAATATATGTTAATGGAAATGGTAATTGCAGTAATTAAAACTACACCGATTTTTGTTTCAACGCAAATTCTCTGTTGAAAGGTTCTAGAATATAATTATTAACCTTTTAACAAAAAGAAATGGAACCAACAGTGGACTTGAATCGTAACACAACATGTTTTGAATGGATGTTTCCTTTAATATTATGTATGGTTAGGGTAACTGCAGTAATTACAGATTTTTCTTTCAACGCAAATTCTCTTTTAAAGGGCTCTAAAATAGTACATTACGTAAGAACAAAAGAATGGTACCTTGAATGGACGTACTATATTGTTACGTACATGTACATGGTGTACAGGGACGTTCCGTTTGATATATGCATGGCAACGGTCATTCCAGCAAACACACCGATCTTTTTTTCAGCGCAAATTTTCAGTTGAAAGACTCTAGAACATATTATTTACGTGTATTAGCACAAAGGAAATAACGGACTTGAATTGTAACACAACATGGTTTGAAGGCATGTCCTTTTTGATACACCGATTTTCTTTCAACCCAAATTCTGAGTTGAACGGCTCTAAAATAGTACATTATCAACGTAAGAACAAATGAATGGTACCTTGAATGGACGTATATTGTAACGTGCATGGTGTACAGGGACGTTGCGTTTAATACATGCATGGTGACGGTCATTACAGCAAATATACCTATGTTTTTAGTGCAAATTCTCAGTTGAAAGGCTCCAGAATATATTATTTATCTGTAAGCATAAAGGAATAGAACCAACAATGGACTTGTATCTTGTATGATATACCATAGGGACGTTCCGTTTCATATATTCATGGGGGGGGTAGTTATGGTAAGTGCAGTAAGTTTAATTCAAACCAAGCTCAAATCCAACTGATGGCTTAGAAAAAAAATCAAAACAATACATGTTGCATTTTAGTCGGTTCCTCCTCCATTCGTGTACGCCTCCGTGTATAGAAGAACTTTATTGACACAACAAAAAGTATAGCGACTTTTGTAAGGTCTAAGACATGTAGATACACAGACAATTATACATGGGTACAACGAAAATATCTTACGTACAGAACAATAGGTGGGTCAACTAATACTACTTGTTGTAAGGTCTAAACATTCTTTGATATATTTACCTATTTGTACACAGTAAGCGTTATTGCCTTCTAGGATGAAAATAAATTTATCTATAGCATGAAATGTAACAAATTCTGTTGAGCAGGCGGAGAGAAGGTTGAACAGCTTTGTGCGTTTATCGTTATATAGTGTACAATTCAAAATAAAATGTTGTTCGTCTACAATATCATTGGGGCAGAATGGACAAAACCTCTGGTCGCGAGGGATTTTTTTATATCTTCCTAATATATATATAATGCAACATGTATTGTTTGCAGGGACGGTCCGTTAAACATGTGTATGGGGAAGCCATTACAACAAATATGGCACTATACAGTTCGTTAAAACGAATTCTATGTTCATCGTAGTTCGCGTGCTATTAGTATCTTGCCACATTTCAAACACATGTTATAGATTTTCATTTATATCTAATTGTATCTTAGAATATCGATTCATAGTGCGCTTCAAACTAATAAACTTTATGCTTTGGTGTTCGTTTTGAACGCATTGGGATTTGTATTAGGCCACAGCAAATCAATTTTATGGATGACATCCTCCGCAGACTCCAAATCTAATGCAAGCGGGCAAAAAAAAACAAGGTTCCTACATTCTAAAATGTTGACTCAATCATTGTACAAATGGTTTTGATTCAGTGGGAACATTACATATACATAGCCAACATCACATATCACTGTATCAAATAAACAAAATATTACATCAGAGTCTTTTCTTGTCTCCTCTCTTCTTAGTTATCTGCCATCCACCTTCCGGCGTGGCAACAGACATCTTTGCCCATTTTTGGCCCACTGTCAGAAGGCAACAAAATTTCTTTTTCCCCCCAAAAATCAGCCGAATATTAATGCGCGCGCCGATGTCATCCATAAAAATTACTTGCTGTGGCCTTACGTACCTCCCAAAAGGTTATATAGTTCATTGAGGGCGACCGCTTTAGTGCTCTTAGTACCCAAATTACCAGACACCGGTTTCTACCCTGTAATCTATTATTTAAACCATGTCGTCTGTGGCATTCATTAGACTGTACAGTCACCATTGTGATGGTATGTTCGATCGATATGTAGTGATATATCCAACAATAGAAGAAAAATAAAATGGATCACATGCACGACAGTGCCTTCGACATTTTATTTCAATTCTGCTCTTAGGCCACACCGACTTAATTTTATGGATGACATCCTCTGAAGACCCAAAAACTAGTGCGCGCGGGCGAATAAAAAAAAAATTCCGGCCAAAAATAAAAATGCTACTAAACCACAGGAATACAAAGCTGGTATTGTGAATTTGCGATAGTACATAGCGACGTGTACGACAAGGCTTTCAGCGCTGTACGTATTTATTGAGTTCTAGCTTCTTGAGTCGTGGAGCCCCGGTAGCCTGGGTGCCATCCTCCAGAGTTACCACCGGCTCCGTATTGTCGCTAGCTACAATGGACTACCCAGGCCTAGAGCCAGGCCGGAATCTTGGAGGAATCTTTTTTTTTTTTTTTGTGAGAACAGACGAAAATCAATGCGCGTTCGGATGTCATCCATAAACTAAGTCGGTGTGGCCTTACTTGCATATCATTAATAGACTGATCCCATAGCTCCGCCCACTTCGGTTGAAGCGGGAAATAAAAACATGCAGCCTTTCTCTCATTGGTCAAACCAAAAAACTAAGAAATGTCATTGGTTGAACAGCTAATTATGACGGGGGAATAGTTTTTTTATGGGCGGTACCAAAAATGAAATAAAGGGACTTCTCGCGTAGCATTTTTGGCTATTTCAAACACTTCAAGTATGGCGAAAGACGAAAATATGTCAAACAATTTCAGTATTAGACAGTTTTTTGTTTTTGAATTTGTTTTCATTAACATTGTGAAAGATCTTTCAAGAATTACAAGAGAGACATAGCAAATTGCTGACAGACATTTAGTAGGCTAAAAAAATTTTTTATTAAAACTTCAATCTCAACCAAAAATAATATCCCTTAAATAACTTCATTAGGTTGGTGAATGTAAAAAATTGTCATTCACAACCATTTATTTAATGGTATTGCCATTCAAATAAATTTTTGTTTGATCACCAAAACATTAGAAATAAAACTTCTGGAATAAAGCATATCATAATTGTGAAATCTGAATATTATATAAACATAGCCGACAAAAAAATTAGCTTCAATAATGGATCTAAAATTTAAGAATAAAATTTGATTGACACAGTATACTATAGAATGAATCTAACATAGGTTTATCTCTAAAAAATGAAATGTTTTGATGTCAATAAAGGTAAACACACTCAATTTCTACATACAGGCAACGTTTATAATTATATTTCTTTGCTATAATAATATACAGATGCTAACTTAAAATAACACTTAGTAAAATATTACAGATTCGAATATGAGAAGTTTATGTATTACACTTGTTTTAAAAGGTTCCATTTTCCAAATCTGTCAGTTTATAAAGTCTGAAAAAAATTATTAGTAAATTTTATTAAACATTCACTTGAGATTTGAGCTGCCTTCTTAATATATTCTTATGATAAAGATCCAATTATGAATATGACACAAAACATTTATATTATATGCACATTGTCTTATGTTGATTCTATTGCTTTTTTGGTTGCATGGTAATCCTCTTTTTTTACAGTGTACCCATTCCTTTTAACAATTAGTAAATGTATAAAATATTTCCTATTTCAAAGTACAAGATGTACAATTGGCACAAACAATTGAATAAATCAAACACAATAAATTCTATATACAACATGAAGTTTTGTATACACAACATTTGTATAACTGAAGAGAACATTTTGTAAATGGATGTACATGTATTCACTGTATTTGTGATAATGAGTGATGAGTGGTCTTGCAGCACCCCCTGTTGAATGCTCCCGTTATTGCAATGGAAATTGCATAATGATTGTATTGTTCAGCTGTTGTCCAAGCTTAAGCCTGGAAGAGCACATTGTCCCAGTGGGTGACCGTGCCTTCTTCTTGTCTGTGCACCTGTGAAGTGTGGAAGGCAGGGCCACTCTGTTCTTTCTGGAGGAAAAATAATAAAAGAAAAAAAATTATTTGCAAAGCAAATGCATAATGTTTACCTTTGTACATGGTCTACTCTGTTAATTCTTATATTGTACTCAAGCACATTCACATACATGTACTACTAGTATATATGGTGACAGGAGCAGAGCAGACCATGAAATTGGAACATCATATAATCCAACACTAGTCACCATGGTGACAGATGTCAACAAATCATGTCATTGGTCAGGTCATAGGTCCCTGTTTGGAGAAGACGAAGAGGAAGAAACTGAGCAAAAACAACATGTTTTCCTTTGGTAAACATTAAAAAACAAGAACAATGGAATCATGGGATTTTCTTATCATTTCGAGATACCTACAGGACTTATACTTTGATGAAGCTATTAATATATCTCCACTCACTCACTCATCTTGGAGCCAAATACATACAAACCTAGCATAAATTAGCACAAGACGAATTCTTTGAACTCAGTCCTCCATGAAATATTTTTAAAAAATCATGTGTGTCCTCTTCTCAGTTTACAATGGAGTCTATAGCTTTATATATGTCTTTGTTTATCATGAAAAGGAAACAACATCTGCTGTCAAGGAGGTCATGTAATGAAAAACACCTGTAAACGTAGAAAACACTACCAGATGTAGAATGTGAGTAGTGAATATCACCTCTGGGACAGACCTAACCAATCCCTATTTATTACAAGCTGACATGCGGAAACAGACACAGACACGCACACACACACACACACACACACATACACACACACTCACACACACACACACAGACATACCAAAAACAATACCTCCACAAATGCATCATGTTTACCTTCGCAAATGGTCTGCTCTGGTAATTCTTACTCAAACACATTGATACATATGGATACACAGGAGTCTAAATCCCTCCTGCTATAAAATTGCTACATGATGTAACCCAGCACCAGTTACCATGGTGACAGACATCAACAAATCAGGTCATTGACCTTATTTGGAAAAGATGAAGAGGAAGAAACTGAGCAAAAACGATGTGTTTTTCTTCGGTAAACATAATTACAATACTTCTGTCCCATAAGAGAGTAAGTTACAGGGGTTTCTCTTTTTAGCAAATGCCCACGAATGCCCAGGAATTGTGACAAAAATTTTAAATTTTTTTGTGTGGTCATTTCCAGAGTTTGCTCCCGCATGTTTATACCAAGTTTGAAGCAAATCCATCAAGCTGAACAAATCGAAATTTACTGTTTTTTTTTTCTCTTCTTAGCAAATACCTACTTTACTTCCAGGTTTGATGGGAATGCCCACTACTCCTTGCAAAATGTCGGCCCTCGCGCAAATAAATATATTTCCAGCAAAATCCACCACCACAAACATGTTCATATAGGACTCTCCTAAAGTTTCTGTGCTTTACAAGCTTTTAAAGTACCCATTTTTTTTTTTTTAAATGTGCGCTACAACGACTTCGTCGCCTCGGCGCGTACATTTCATAATGGCCGACAGCTGTGGGTTTGCAGAAAACACAGTCCAGTCCAATCGAGAAAGCGGGTGTTTGTAGATTCCTACCTGTAGAGCAGCAATGATTTCCAGTGTTGTAGAGAGAAGATAGGGAGCCTGGATAGTCTGCACAGCCAGAATATCCCTACTACCAGAGTCAGGACTGTACACCTCATACTGTAGATGGTTTCCTTCTTTTACATTGGTCCAGCTGAAGCAAGAAATCAAAGATCTCATACCTACTTAAAACAGTTATAGGATACTGTAAATCACTTGAAATTAAAAACTAAAAACTTTAAATTTGCAGTTACTGTAACAGTAGCAAAATTTCACAGTCTGAGGAAAAAGGACATGTTCGTGGAACTATATATTTTCACACCTGGGGAAAGTGTAGAAGAAAGAAACTCAACAAATTATTTGTTTGCAGTATAATGATAAATTCACGGTACAGAAGTGACTGTGAAAACTGCAAAATTATTGTCATAAAGGTACTGCAAATAAAGAGTTATTTACAGTATTTTGGTTTTCTTTTACAGTATTGTCTCTCATCTGCTTTCGTTTCGTTTCCTTAGAGCTTCTGACTGGATCTCAGTGCTATAACTAGCCGCTGTACAATGTAGGTGGGCTGCAGCTTTTCAAAAATCCCAAACATGGCTAAGTTTGTAACCCCCCCCCCCCCCCCCGTTCCAGTTTATCGATGCGGTTGGCTTTCTAATAACCTACATGTAGATGGCCTCTTTGGTCCATATTTGTCTGGTATCATCTCCAAGTCTGTATATTAACTTGCCCCCATTTTTAATGTAGTATATAGATAAATAAACCAGTATGCCATTTATAAGCATACTGATTTTAATGAGGTGAAAATGGCATATTGTATCATAGGCTATTTACTGTATTAATTTAGCGGTACAAAAAAAGGGACTCGTCATGCACATAGCTTTTTTGGGGGCTACTTCAAATGCTTGTTTGAAATGATGACAAATATGTGCTAACTAAGAAATTGCAGGAAATGTCAACACTCGACAAACTTCCTCATCAAGAATTTGTTGAATCTTTGTTTTGCCACCCCAAGGCTCAAAATTTATTTTTGAGAATAGGTGCACTTAAAATTTTTTGGGTGCACAATATGAAACAAAACCTAATTGCAGGTCTTACTGCTCCTCTTCTGAGCTTGAATCTAAAATGAGAGCTAACTTCAAAATCATAAACAACTACTACAACAAAGATTTTATCATTTTTCTGATACATAGCGACCAAGAATATCCGGTATACTATTATACATTTCTAATGTTGAAAATGCCTACAAAAATATTTGGGTGCACTAGTGTACCCACAGAAAAAAATTAGGTGCACAGCTCCGATTTTGGGTGCACTAATGTACACATGCACCCAGTATTTTGAGCCCTGCACCCTGAAATTGCATTTCAATGCCTTTAATAGAGGCCTGGGAATTTCTAAATACAAGGCCTTAACAACACTTTGAAAGTTAAAATCCTGGGAGTTACAGTGACTTCTAAATGTACAGCGAAGTGTTAACAGGTGTGTGAATAATTTATGTGTTTGACCTTGTGATTCTGCTCCACACAATAGACAAGGTCATCTCCCCGGAGACCAGTCTGAGGCCAGTCAAGGTCACACGCAGCTCTATTATAGTACCGACTGGGACCTGGGGAAAAAACAATTTGAACAAACATGATGCATAAATTGCTAGAAAGGTAACATTTGCAAAGAAAATAATGATTACCTCCACATCTAGTCTGCTCCGTTGATTCTTATATGGTGACAGGAGTCTAAATCCCTCCTGCTATAAAATTGCAACATGATGTAACCCAACACTATGATGGTGATAGACATTTGGTTCAGGTCATTGACCTTATTTGTTTGGAGAAAAAGAGGAAGAAGTGGAAAAAGAGGAAAAAGAAGCAGAGCAAAAACAATATGTTTTCGTTCTAAGTATGAGGGTAAAAATGAAAAAAGGAAAGAACAAAAAATAAAAATGCCTACCTTGAAATTGTCCACACAAAGATCTCTTTCCACAATGACATCTCTAAACCTGACAGAAGAGTAGTCTTCTAATGTCTGACACAACTGTACATATCTGCCGTGGAGGGGGAAGCTTGGGTCGCAGTATTC